ATGAGACTGTCCACGTGGGACTACGGTCTTATTACAGAAAAATTAAATAAACGGAAAGAAAATTATTTTATTCACGAATGAAACAGTAGATTGATTATAGTATGAAAATAGAATGAATATAGAGTACCGTCGCAGCATCTACTTAGACATTAATCCCTTTGCATTATCTTTAGGAAACCCTGTAAAAAGTATTACGAAAGCCCTGGTTTTTTTAATGTATGTCTTTTTACCGTGTTACGAAAGCCTTACTTTTAACCGGGCTTTCGTAATGCTAGGGGTCTGGATGAAACCTGACCGAATTTTCGAATCTTAGAATTTTAGACTTTAAGAAACATAGATTTTTAACCCATTAGGTTTTCAGAATTTTAGAAGAAGAGACTATAAGCTTTTTACAATTTCACAATATAAGATTAGATCTTTAGAATCTTACAATGTTAGATTTTTAGACTTTTGGAAGGTTAGGTTTTTTAGAATTTTAGAAGATTAGGTTTTTAGACTTTTAGAAGAATAGAATATAAGATTTTTAAACTTTTAGAAGCTTCGACTTTTAGAATCTTACAAGTCTATCGGTTATACTATATAGCAGTTATGTAAAAGCGTGTGCTCTTACCAGATGTCGCTCTTACCACCATCTGCTATTGATGACAATAACATTGCTGTATAACCAGACAGTAAAGAGGATTACGCAGGAAGAAGCTATTGGACAGTTCAACGACTTTTACGACGGCTGCTGAACCGAGAAAATGAATAAAGAGTGACGAGTCACAAACAAGGGTGTGTTGTACAAAACTCTGCATCAATAACACACGCTTTTACATAACTGCTATATAGTATAACCGATAGACTTTGTCAAAAAAAGTCGAAAAATGTTTGCTGCCACATCGCGACGAGTTTTATATAACAAGAATATAGTTAGATATAAGGATAAACTCAGTTTCAACGACGAAGAAATTCCCTATATTTAACTATACGCTTTGAACAGCATTTGGCATTAAATCATACACAACTTGACATTACATGGTATCTAGATGCTGTGTATGCATTCTCAAGTAAGTAAATAGCAGTTCCTCATAGTAGCATTTGTGAATGCAAGTATTGGTCTCCGAATGAATTATTGAGCTCAAAGGTGGGGTTCTTTACAAAAATGTGTATACTTAATTAGAATTACAATTATAGATCTACTAGTGGATCATGATGAACCCGATCCAAATCATTTGCCACAAGTGAATACACCGTTGGCATTTAACACTGAACGTTCGTTCAACTTTCTGTCACCAATTAAAATTTATCATATGCTCCGATGGCTTCAGATGTGTTCTCCTGGATGGGGTTATGCATTTACAATGGATGACGGTACAGGACCGTATCGTGTTTTTACTTAGAACACAGTCAATGACTGTTTATATGTAGATTGTTTTCTTGTTCCTATTTTTTGTTTGTTGAATTGTTTCTCGATGTTATTCTTCGTGTTAGTTGTTGTTTACTTAATAAAAACTAGAAGAAAGAGAAAATGAGAAAAAACAGCTATTAATATTTGTGATCAAAGAAACTCATTTTAATCTTTATGGCACACTTTTTTCATTGTTCTTTTTTTTCTTTCTCTTATTTTATACGTGAATCACAAAAGATCTACAGTTTTTGGTTTTTTCTTCGGTTTTGAGTTCTATTCTCTTTAAAAGGAAAATACCAAAACACGTAATGATGCTGGTAGAGAAAGGGATAATTATGATATATTAAGCACTATGCTGTACTTAGTATAAGTATCAGCATTTTCTTTGTGTTAAGTTTGTTGTTATAAAATTAACCATTAGAAAAAGCGACACATGTGTACACACTTTTCAGTGCATAAACATTAAGAATGACGGCAATCTGTTGCTGAATTTTACTTATGGGTTGTCTCATTTTACTGTAGGTGTTATCCAAGCGCTTAAACTAAGTTTTCAGGCGTGATAAAGAATATTTTTGTGAATATTTCGTTGCTGTTGTAAAAATATTAAATAAATAAATATTAAAGGGTAAATTAAAGAATTTCGTTTTGTAATGAACATTAGTTTTATGGTTTTAAGTCCCTGGTCAAGCGTCAAAGAACCAAAGTCTACCTTAATGATGCAAGCGCATGATATTGCGCTCAAGCAGTCACGACCTGTGGACACTTCTTGCTCATGCGATACGCAGTTTTTTTGTCTTATGCGCTAAAGTTTCTTAAAATCAAGAAAGTCTTTTTCGACATAATGTATATAACGAGCTGAGCATGTTTACGTAGAATACACAGCACATGTGTGTTCTATAACAGTGTTTACGAAAAAAAAAGAACTGACCATTATATGACAAGTAACATGCATGCATTTCATCCTTTTTAACTTAGGTTAAAGACTTATTCCTTGTGTTTTTTGCCGTTTGTGTCTGTTTTCTAATCTTCCTGAAACGAATTTTTTTTAATGATCAAAGGAGCAGCAGCAACGCTGAGAGGGTGACTAGCCTGTGTGTGGCAGGGAGGGAGGATGAAGTGGACAACATGAAAGCAAGCTCGGTAGGTAGCAAACACTAACTATGAAACTAGAGTAGAAAGCAGTCTTTATACCCACACAGTCAGAAACGCTTTGTACATTTAAGGTATTCAACAACAGCACTATAAACAAATCTTATGTCATCAGTGCGAAGTGGACATCGCAGGAGTAGGAGATCAACATTTATAGTGCCAAACTGCTGTAGTGCATGCTGCTGCATCAATACAATGTCGTTTAAATAAATTATGAATAAGTTGAGGATTATTTGACTTCAACCGCATAAATAGAATCTCCGCGCTTCGATTCAGAAACGACAAATTGTTTGGAAACTTTCTAAGTGTACTTAGACTCTGTCTCTGAGAGAGAGAGAGAGATAAATCAATTTAAGTCGGAAAAACCGATGATGCCCAGTGCATGATGTGGCAATATCAGCAGCAGATAGTTCATGCACAAATGAAATGAACTAACTGAAATGAACTTTACTTACTTAAAGTTGTTTAGATGTATCGCTGGCACCTCTATAACATTCCAAGACTTTTTTATCCGTCATTTTTGAATGGGATGAGCGAAGACGAAAAGAAAAAGTAAATGTATGAAAAACACTCGTATTGTTTAACAATAATTTCAAAATGTATGCCGGTCGCTTGGCCGTTCTACCGCAGTGAAATTCTAGTTTATTTTATTCTGTTTTATTTCGGTTCCTTTGAGTGTATCGTGGATACATACATACATTGGCATAGAGTAAAGTGTCTAATTGGAACCGCAACCATATTTGTCTCACTTGTGACTCTAGTATCTGAGTGAGTTTTGAACCGATTTCCACCGAATTTGGGGGCTTTTGTAGCTGAAAGTCTTATCTATTTAATGCTCTGAAAATTATTCCGAAATTTCCATCAGAGACGGATCTCAGGAAGATTTACTAAGGAGAGGGTCATTTTGGTTCCAATTAGGCTCTGTGTCTAATGGGAATCGTACAGTGAAATGTGTGTCTAATTGGAACCGTCTCGTTGAAATTACATGGGTTTGCAACGTTTCACAGAAAATGCAAGAAAAAACAGATCGTATAGATACTCATAGTAAATCAATAGGGCTAAAAATAAATGCAAAGAAAACAAATATTATGATGGTAAATAAAAACAAGTTTGGAGATGATGTAGAGATTATGGTTAATAACAATAAATTGGCAAAGGCGCAGGAGTTTATGTATTTGGGCAGCAAAATATCTCAAAGCGGTGACATCATGAGAGAGATAAACAATAGAATAGTTAAAGCAGCATATGCACTGAAAACACGAAACAAAGTATGAGACAACCCATAAGTAAAATTCAGCAACAGATTGCCGTCATTCNTGGCAAAATAAAGGTATTCCATTGAAAACAAAGATGCAACTGTACAGAGCAAATGTAATAGCAGTGCTCATATATAGTAGTGAAACGTGGCAGCTAACCAAACAACAAGAAGAAAAAATAAATTCTTTTGATTATATATGTTTGAGGAAAATTTTAAAAATCAACTGGACGCACAAGGTATCAAATGCATAAGAGAAAGAGTTAAGTTACCAGCCGTTGTGCAAACTATGAAAAAGCAACGACTACGTTGGTTCGGGCATCTAATAAGAATGACCAGGGATAGGCTCGCTAAACAGATATTACAGTGGGAACCACAAGGAGGAGAAACAAGAATTGGAAGACCACCAACATCATGGAGAGAAACAATTACTAGAGACTTAAAAGAAATGGGGTTGACTTACGATGAAGCTATACAATTGGTAAGAAACAAAAACGAATGGGATGCATTTTTATTGCCCGTTGCATCAAATGGTGACTGGTCAAATAGATAGATAGGTAGATAGATGCACCGGTTTCGGTTTTCAAACCGACGAAAAAACCGAATATTGTCGCATTCTTTTCCGAGATGGTAGTATTTGACTTTGAAGATGATTGTAAGAGAAAGTTAATGGCATTCATAGCCGTCTTGTCCTCTCTCACGCTAATGGAAGACGCCAATGGAAAGCCGAGATTTTTGAAACAGAGAATGTTTTCTTATTTTTCCGATTATCAAAGACCACTAAATACCGGTGTAAGAAAACGGTGGGAGGATAAGATTATGGGTGATCTCATCAAATTTGGGAGAAAAAACTGGCGAAGAGAAACCATGAATAAAGACAAGTGGCGTCAGAGAATCAACAGACACACACAGGTTAAACCAGTGCACCAGAACATTCAGAAAATTGTTTATGAATTTAAAGAGCGAGCTAAGAAACGGCGAGCAGATGAACTAGCTCAATCAATTCAAGCTAAGATTCCCTCTGTAACCACTCAGATTACATCAGTAAGCATAAACGTTTGTCCAAATTGTGACAGAATGTGCAAAACTGAACGAGGTGTAGAAATTCATCGAAGGACATATGATAAGAAAATACAAGCTTTAAATACAGTAACAACGGTCTTAACCCATTACCTACCCTGGGGTCACCCATGACCTATTCGTAGAATTGTTATAAAAAGACAATGAAGCATGTGAGAAAAAATGGATTGCTTTTAAGAGCAAGATAATTCCATAAGCTATCGATTGATAAAAAACGATTTTCTTTTCCATCAACTTTTCGTGAAGATATTTCAATCAGAAAATAAAAAATTTTCAAAAAAATTGAAAAGTTGAAAAAAAAATTTTCTCGGCTTTTATTTTTTTTTCAAGAACTTTTCAGAAACATGTTATTGTCGATTAATGCTTAGTAGACTGTTGCCTTTGCAAGCAAATAGAACAGGCTGTTCTTATGACGTACGAATTTTCTACGTTGTAAATATGAAAAATGCGAGTTGAAAACGCAATGGACATGTTCTAAATGTGAACTACATTTATGCATTCAACCACAACATAACTGTTTTGTACCTTTTCACACTAAACAATAATCTAGAAAAAATAAATTTAATTGTATAATTGTATTGTATATAAATTTAGTTGTATGAATACTCAATATAATTGCTAATAAAAATATGTTTGCTATAAAATAACAACCTAAGTGTAAAAGAGTACGTTTTTTGTTTTTGAAGTTTTTTCATGTTGTTCGCTACCAATGGGTCATGGATGAGCCATTGCCCATGGTCAACATTGGTGCAACTTTGATTTGATTCAACCTTGAAATTGACGTATTGTACTACTCACTGCTTTATTCTACTAGTTAGTTTGCCGGCAGCTTTTATAGATCAATGGTGGTAGGTAAAGGGTTAACTCAGGTTAAAATAACGAACTTAATTAGTAAAACCAAACGGAATAAACATGTATGTCCTAGCTGTGGAATAGCTTCTAAAATCCAAGGAATTTCTACGCATGTAAAAACATGTGACGAGAACTGGTGTAAAAAAAATGGAGTACGAGTTGTTTAGAAGGGACACCATCTAAAACTATTTTAAAGATGGTGGAGTTACAGAATTAGGCTTGTCGAAAAAGCGGAACTCTAATGATTTGGAGTAGCTGCCTAATTCGAGTTCAAATATAACTACAATTTTGGTTAGAATATAACTAGGAAAAGCTTAGTAAAAAAAGATTTTATTTATAACTTTCGAATTAGAATTGCCATATATCGAATTCGAACTAGCACAAACACTTTACTGTAAAAGTTTATGAAAATAAAAAATTTTTCGCCAAAATTCGAATTCGAGTTTGGATTTTGCAAGAATTCGAATTCGACCTAGGACGAAAACATTACCGTAAAAGTTTATAAAATAAAAAATTTTTCACCAGAATTCGAATTCGAATTAGGACGGACACTTTATTGTAAAAGTTTATAAAAATAAAAAATTTTTCACCAAAATTCGGATTCGAATTTTGATTTTACAAGAGTTAGAATTCGAATTAGGACGAACACTTCACTGTAAAAGTCTAGAAAAATAAAAAGTTTTTTATAAAAAAGTTTTTATATTTACAAACTTTTACAGTAAAGTGCTCGTCCAAACTCGGATCCGAATTCTGGTGAAAAATTTTCTATTTTATAAACTTTTAGAGTAAAGTGTTCGTCCTACTCCGAATTCAAATCCTGGTGACAGGGTTTTTATTTTTTGAAAGTTTTACAGCAGAGCGTTCGTCCCAACTTAAATTCGAATTTTGGCGAAAAAATTTTTATTTTTAGAAGCTTATTTATTTAGAAGAATCCTTTATTTTTAGAAACACCAGTGTATATTAATTTAGATCGCCATTAGCAGTTAATTCAGACTTACGAAGGTACCTCCCCAGACGTCCCACTCCGATTTCTATGATCTTTTGGCTATAGATACTATATAGTGTCCTAGTAAAAACCCAAAAAAAGGATTTCGATTCTTGTTGCTTCTTTCAGAAGTTATTAATTTTTCATTTTGCCCACACAGCGCATAACATAAACTATTCAAAAATTTTATAACTCAGTCAAAACACGGGATGAAAGACTGAGAATTTTTTCTGTGGTAGTGCTAGATGTCTATTATAATCACAGAAAATTTTGTGATCTCGGCAAAGATCTCGCCGATGTTCATGAGCTTTGAGAATCAGACGACTTGTCCAGCTAACGGCCTCCATTTTTTGCTCTTTTTCAAAACGTTATTGCAATAAAGCTACAAACTAATCTAAAATGGTAACCAGATAATTAAGTAGATAAAACATTTCTCTACAAAAGGAAAAGTGTCTGGGCTCTGAACGTTGATTCGTTATGAAAGACTTTGGTCAAACTTTACAGGTCTTTGATTTTGACACCTCCGATTGCAAACCTATCAGCGACCTCATATCGAACGATAGACCCTTTATTTTTACGCCATTCGAACCGCCTTGAAACATAGAACACAGTTATAGATTTAGTTTTTTAATTTTTTTTAAATTTCAGATTGAAATTGGAATTTTCTACTCAGAGGCGAAAAAGTCGAAATTTTGGCCGTAATTCTCGATTTTCTCCGACAGAACTCAACTTCCATGAAATAAAAAGACCTTATTCGAAATCAGGATCAAAAACTGAGTCGAATGATATGTATTTCTGTCCTATCCAACTACTTTAAGTTTTTTCGAATTCTTACGTTGAAAAATGATCGAGATTTTTACGCCTCTATTTTTGTGAAGTGAGAAAGTGCATGTTCAGCTTAAGTAAACGTTTCTATGAAAAAGACGATGAAGAGAATGAGAGGAAAAAATATTTATGTCATGTTTTACTAAATAAATATATATTGGTATGTCAGTTGCAAAATAATTACAACGAGATGAGACCAATTACAATACTCACTTTTGTGAATATTGTGTTATATGTTGTACTAATAAAATTGTATTAGTGCGAACAGAAGAATGCTTAATGGAATTTCAATATGATGCGTGCGACAGTCGTACTCAGCAGTTTAGAGCTATGTCTTATTGAAAGACTAAGCGAGTGTATATTTTTTATGTGTTTTTCATGAAGAAAGAGAATGTTTTTAACTTCTGGGCCGCTTCCCTTTAAAACCTGTTTACGAGATAGTTTGTGGGTTATGTAAACAAACTCTAACTTTTCAGTCGTATACATTTGCATCTAATTTCAAGAAGTATACGCAAGAAAGTTTACGAACAGTTATTTCTGGGGTAGCGGATGGTAGTCATTTTCGAATTTGGGGATGGCAGTACGACTGTCATACGCATCATATTGAAATTCCATTAAGCGTTCTTCTGTCGCACTAATACAATTTTATTAGCACAACATATAACACAATATCCATAAAAGTGAGTATTGTAATCGGTCTCATCTCGTTGTAATTATTTTGCAACTGACATACCAATATATATTTATTTAGTAAAACATGACAAATATGTTTTCCTCTCACTCTCATCATTATCTTTTTCATTGAAACGTTTATTCAAACTGAACATGCACTTTCTTACTTCACAATTCTTTTATCGATGCTGCAAAATAAGTCGTGTCTCATATCTATATTGGAAAAATTCTCGAAGAAAGAACAATGGCGCCAATTATATGTTTTAATTTAACTACCAAAGGCTAAAAGACGTGAACCTGGTTTGAAAATAGTGTAAAAGAAGAAGCTTTTTCCTCTGTGAGACGTGTAATTTTCTTCCTTATCTGACATAATTTGAGTAGCACTCGTAAAACATTTACGATCTAGTGATCAGCAACTACTGTAGAAAATACCTTTTCTATGATGGAGAATTCAGTCATAATGTTTTCGGACATGCAAGAGGTTCTGCATATGCACATACATATACTTTTTAGAACAGAAATATACATTATATTTATCTTTCCTCTGAGGTACGCTATTTCACATTTGAAAATGAAAATTGAATTCTTTAAAAACTGAATTCAAAAAATGATTTTTCAAAACTTGTTTCTTCTAAAATCTTTGTTGAGCAGTTATCTACGACATCAATTTGTTGAAAAGCTTTTATCCTCAAAATTGTTGTCTAGAAATACTTTTCTCCTGTTACTTGGTACTGGAACTGTGTCATGAAGACCATACTTTCGACACAGAGAAAAATTTTCTCATATGTCGTGGAGAAAGCTCATCACTCAACAACCTTAAAACTTGTTCATGATTCAGGGTAAATACAAACTAAGCTTTCTCATGCAAATTGTCTACGATGAAATGATATTTTAAATTGTTAATTTCATCAATTAAAAATATTTATTTTTGCTTTTCGTATAATGTTACAAAGAGAGAAAGAATTCTCATGAAAAATCTGTTTAGTTTTTGTTCCTTCTTTTCATAGACGGCATAAATAATCAATCTTCATCATTGTTTTATTGCAGCAACGTTGCCTGTAATTCTGATGCATGTTTTTTTAGTAATTGTTGTGTCATTATTTGTGATTGTTCAACAATTATTGGTTGTAAACGAACAAATTTTTGACCAAATTCTGTTGAATAGAATTCTATATAGTGTTCAATGTCTTGTAAATTAAAATAATCCATATATACTTTAGCTAAATCAATTTTAATATGATTAAAGGAACAATATTTTTCTATAAATTCTTTTATTTTATTTTTCATATCACTCGTTATAAGTGGTGATTGTGATAAACCAAGTTCCACACCTACATTAAACATTTTTTCACTACCCATTTTATCAAATAATTCCAATGTTTTTTCCAATAACTTTTTTGAATTTTCAGCATCATTAGGCGCAATTGGTATGCAATAAATGAGATCAATTACACAACCAATAATCAATAATGAACGTAAATACATATTGTTATTTTTACTATAAAGATACGTAGAGAAGATAAAAATTCTACTGTTTATTTTAACCCTGATCTAATATGAAAAAGAAATTTGCCATGCTGTCCGTTCATTAAAACAATACTCTCAGATATGTTTGAATAACTATTGAACATCCGTTTTTCTCTTTATCTGACGTTACAAGCTGCATAAACCTGTCATAATCAAATCAAATCAGAAATCAAATACGAAAAGTAAAAGAAGCAAAGAGTGAAGAGAAACAATTAGGAAAGATTCCAATGTACAACCTAAAAATTGATATAACTCCCGCTGAAACACGAATTGTTTTTATCTGGCCTTGAAATATGCTTTTGAGGTTAGATCGTTGAAAAAGCTTTCAGTTAATCAAACCATTCTTAACTTTTTTTGAAAAATAGCTCGATGTTATTCCAATTCGTCAAAAGGGAAAATTACTTACAGAATGAATGGTGATCAGTGATTTTAATAAGCATAGAATAACTGAGTAAAAATATGAAATTTATAGTTTTATCACGTTTTCACT